CTACCCTTCAGCAGACCTGGGCTTGGGAAGGCCTCTGCCCTTGATTCACTTTGTGCAGCTCCTGCACTTTTAGGGCCCTCATCACATTGTGTTGTAAGCACTGGTTTCCTTTTATTGCCCCCAATCAACAGAAACCTTCTTATTCAGCAGTGGATCCTCCAAGCCTAGCCCAGAGCCTAGCCCAGGGCCTGACGCATGGTCTGTTAACACACGCTCACTCAATTAAGATAATTTGTATAACTTCAAAGCCTGCTTGGTTCTACTGGTGGTCACTACACATCCTTCTCTGTTTTTTCTTCTCCAGGAGAAATGTCATCCTTCCTTTATCTATCCACCCCAATCCAGCAATTCAAGGCTGAATTGTCACCATTGCAATGTCACCTCTTCCAGGGAGCTTCCCAGCCCTCCAATCAAGAGATGTCTCTTTGCTCATTGTCTCCGGAAGTTCACAACCTGGGGTGTGATGATGGTGGTTCAGAAAAGCAAGTCAATGTGCTACGAACTATTGACGCCAGAGGTCAGCATGACAGTGAGGATTTAGTGTTCACACGGGGCAGGGACTGTGCTAAGGATCCTACTGCCATTACCTTATTTAATCTTCATAGCAACCTTATGAGGGAGCTCTATTATTATTCCCATTTTACAGATGTGGAAACTGAGGCTTAGAGAAGTTAAATAATGTGCCTAGGGACTCAGAGCTGGGAAGGTCTGAGCTGGAATTTAACATCAAGGCTCATTCTCTTAATAACCACTGCACCCTAGCCATAAGGAGAAATAAGGATCTAAAAAGGGCCATTGTGGGGCTGGCCCCATGGCCAAGTGGTTAAGTTCGCATGCTCTGCTTCAGCAGCCCAGGGTTTCCCTGGTTCAGATCCTGGGCGCGGACATGGCAACGCTCATCAGGCCACGCTGAGGTGGCATCCCACATGCCACGACTAGAAGGACCCACAACTAAAATATACAACTATGTACTGGGGGGCTTTGGGGAGAAAAAGGAAAAATAAAATCTTTAAAAAGAGCCATTGAAGAAAGTCAGGGAATGTATCAGTCAGGGTTGTGCAGAGAGCAGAATCACTAAGAATGATAAGAAATAATTTATTATAGGAATTAGACCTTATCTAATTGGAGGAACTGGTGAAGAATTCTATGGAAGGTTGTTGCCCCTCCATCTGGTGTAGGCCTGGAATTGCTGTCGACCTGCAGGGGCAGTAGTTGGGAAGAAAAGCTGGAGGTAAAGTCGGGGAGAACAAGGACAACCAGCCCTGTAAGGACTAACTACAACCCCTGTCTATTCCTTACTGCCTCCAATTTCAACGGCCGGATGACCTACAGAGGAAGCTGGTGCCTTTTGGCACAAAGCTGCAAAAGTAGTTCGCCCCGGACTTGGAGATGTGGTAGAAGCTATGAGCCACGTGAGTCTGACTGCCGCACCAAGCCGTGCCAACAAGGTGAGCCAGCAGTCAAGTGACAATGTTGCAATGGTACCTCTTTTTGGCAGTGTTACACAAAATTATCTAAAACTGAGAAATAGGGCAAAGGATGATTGTGTGTCCTTTCAAAGTCCTACTGGATGGAGCCTTATCTATTGGACCCGCCCCCCAGATTATTTCATTCCCTAGATTCTAGAATCTAGGAGAATAAACCTTTACTGTCTATTTACCATTGTTTAGGGTCCAGGCTCTGGGCTGTTATGTGTTCACTACATTTTTGCCTTGCAGAGATGCAAATGACCCCTTGTCTAGTAAAAAATATAACCCTGTCGGGAGCTCAGCTGAGCTAGGAGACTGAGAGCTGAGCTGCTATGTGTCAGAGCAGCCAATTAAAGCGAGAAGCCATAAATGTGAGGAGGGCTGGGCAGGAGGCCCTCGCCCACGGCCTCAGATCTGGAGACCCAGGAGTGAAGGCACTGGGTGAGGAACGTAAATATGTGAAAGAGCAAAAGTCAGTTTTATCGGATCTGTAAATTGGCAATCTTATTTCATCATTCTTTCATTAAATGTATTTAGTTTCTTGAATTTTCCTTTGAACTAGATTTACCATTCTGCTAGTTTTTTCATTAATGGGATAAGTGAATCTTTGTCACATGCTCATTACATATTTGCAGGATGGTCAGGTTTTAGCGTTTTAGTGGCTGTCCTTTGACAGTGGCAGCGTTGAGGACGGATTGGGAGTGATGAGCAAGACTCAAGGCTGGGGGTCCTTGGAGGCTATTTCAGGAATCCTGATGAGGCAGTGGGAGGGCCTGGCCCCAGGCAGCAGCAGGCAAACAGGCGAAGAGGCTGGACAGGGCAGACAGAACCACCGTGGGTGTTGGTGAATGATGAAAAATATGCAGGGTTAGGAGCATCTAAAGCTTCTGGCTCATAAAACTACCCCCTGCAGCCCAAGGCTAGTGCTTATCCTTAGCATCTGAGAAAGCTGATAATGCTTAGAATTTACCTGGTTCTAGGACTGGGGCAATGGTTGTTCTCTATGGCCTCAGACGTGAAAAGCATTCAAAATTATGGTCAGAAAATCACTCAGGCCCTTCTCTTTCCTTTTTTTCAAAAAAAAAAAAAAAAAAAAGTGTGGGGGGGGGCACAGAGAATAAAACACAACAACAGAAAAAAAAACACCCCAAGATGAACTTCTTTTAATTATACATATGTATATTGTCACAGCACACCAAGGGACTTAATCCCAGCCCACTTCCCCTCCTGGCTGCTGCTGCTTTTTTTTAAGGAAGATTGGCCCTGAGCTAACATCCACTGTCAATCCTATTTTTGCTGAGGAAGATTGGCCCTGAGCCAACATCTGTGCCCATCTTCTTCTAGTTCATACATGGGATGCCTGCCACAGCATGGCTTGATAAGCGGTGCTAGGTCCACGCCCAGGATTCGAACAAGTGAACCCCGAGCCATGGAAGCAGAGTGCGTGAACTTAACCGCTACGCCACCAGGCCAGTCCCCCTCCTGGCTTCTTAGTGGCTGCTGGCCATTTCCTCCTGGGACCCAGTGGGTGCCAGCTGGAGTGAGCTCAGCAAATGCAAACTCTTTTAATTCTTGAAACAGCACAGCACATTAGGAAAGGAAATCGACAAGTGAAAAAATCACATTATGAATTCCAATGCCAAGGAAGAGGATTATAAACCAGATTGCGAATTTGCCGAGGACTGGGAAGCATCTTATTCTCTTTGGTGCAGGTCGAGTGACTGGTTTGGTCATTATTGACCCTTCAGGATTACCCAGGATCTGGCCTCTTCTGTTCTTGTATTTGTTTCCAGGTCTTCCATCCACCACCACCTTCAGTTCTAGCACCTGGGCTGTAATGCTCTTGCTTTGTACTCTTCTGACACTAGACAACCAGCTAGGATGAAGGCCCAGCTAAGGGGTCAGTGTTGTAGTTTGATTTTTTAAACTTTTTATTGTAGAATTTTAGATTTACAGAAAAGTTAGTACAGAGAGTTCCTATATGCTCTTCACCCCGCTTCCTCTGATGTTAACCTCTATCATAATCGTACATTTGTCAAAACTAAGAAGTTAACATCGGACAATCCTATTCACTAAACTGCAGACCAGTTTTTCCATTTACGTCCTTTTTTAGTCCCAGGACCCAGTGCAGGATACCACAGTACATTTAGAGGGGTCATTGTTCTTAATTATACCTACCTCCCTGGGGTTTTGCGTGGATTGGATGATAAACTCTATGTAAAAGGGCTTTGTAAACCCTGAATAACTATGCAAATGTTACCAGCAGTTCTTTTCCATTGTTGTTCTGGTTAATGATGAAACATACTGACACTTCCCTCACCGCATGGCAGGGTGTGAGTAAATTCCAACTTAATTATTAAAATGACTTTAAAACAATATGCTGTGCACTTTCACCTTTAATCCTCACAATTATGCTTATTTTATGAGACTCAGAGAACTTAACTTGCTCAAGAATATACTTTTAGACTTTTTTAGGCTCTCCCAAGATTGCGTTAGCTGCCTTTTTATGCTCTGCCCCATCACAGCACTTACTGTAGTCCTCCCGCTGGACTAGAAGCTGTGGCGCCAGGAAGCGGGTGTTCTTCCTTGTTATATCCCCTCCATCCAGCAAAAGGAATCTCGCATACAAGGTGCTCCAAACAATACTGTTTAGATGAATGAATGAAAGCTGACCTTATATCATTGCTCTATTCTAAAAGCTGCTGTTTTCCTTACAACTTACTGTTCGCCATCTTTCCCAACTGGAAAGTAAGAATGGGGAACACAGGCAGTTGTATTTTGCTCCTTAACAAATCTTCAGTGCTTAGAACTGGCATAGTGTAAGTGTTAATAATATCTGTTCAGTGAATGTGTGGAAAGGTGGACTTCCTCCTTTGGCCAACATCACCCTGTCTTTTTGTGACATCACTGTATTTTGTTCTGATGCTGATCTCGGTAAGACAATGTTCCAGAACAACCGTAACGCTGTGACATAGGTAAATACTGAATGCTCTGACTTCCTGAGTTAAACAATCACTTGCAGCTGAATGATGATCAGAAGGGGCACCACAGGAATGCTGTCCCCAAGAGCACTGCGTCCAAGAAGGAGGCACTGGCAGCTGGCAGCCCACGGACTCTCTACTCGCCGTGGCTTTTGTGCTGCTCCAGCAAAATCATGACTTGAGGCCATTTGTGCTCCATGCTCTTGACTTACATGTCACACTCACCTCCCTTTCAACAGAATGCAGCTCTTGAAGAAGCAAAAATAAATAAATATCTGCTTATAATAATCATTAGCATTATTTTCTTAGGACACAAGTTCCTCTTGTCAGAACTCTCCTATTTCAAATCTACTCATTTTTCCTATTACTAGCAAAAAGGTAACAATCATTCATATTAAGGAAAACTGGAACATAGAAAAAAAGTCACTATCCCAACAAGAGTGTGGTTGGAATTTCATGTGTATTTCTTTCCCCTTTTTTCCCCTGAGTATATTATATATACTGTTGACTATATGGTCAACATCATTAGTCATCAGGGAAATGTAAATTAAAAACACACACTACATATCTATTAGATTGATAAAGTTAAAAAGATGGGCAATGCCAAGTGCTTACAAGGATGCAGTACAACTAGAATTCACATACACTGCTAGCTGGATTACAAAATTGTATAGCCACTTAGAAAATACTTTGATAGTTTCTCACAAAGGTAAACATGCACTTGCCACATGACCCAGCAATCCCAATCCTAGGCATTTACCGAAGAAAAATGAAAGCATGTGTCTATACAGACCTCTGTGTGAATGTGTATAGCAGCTTTATAATAGCCCCAAAGTGAAAACAACCCAAATGTCCATGAACTGGTGGACGGATATACAAATTATAGTACATCCACACAAAGAACTACTACTCAGCAATAGAAAGCAACGGACTACTTATAAATGCAACAACATGGATGAGCCACAAAACATTATGCTATGTGAAAGAAGCCAGACACAGAAGGCTACTCCAAACTGTTTTTACACACATTTCTGACACCAAATTTTTTCCACACCAACAGCTACTTCTCCAACTCTCCAGACACCAACAGGGTCTCCTACAGTTCAATTCTGACACTAAGTACCCAGAGTTAGTGTCAAATTCCACAGGTTTAAAGGCTCAGTCCCACAAGGCTGCCCTCACTTCAGATTCCAGTTTCAAGGCCCAGGCTGCCACCTGTACTTCTGAGCAACCAGCCATAAACTGGCAGTTCCCACGACTCCTTCCTCAGGTTCAATAATTTGCTAGAATGGATCACAGAACTCAGGGAAATACTTTGCTTACATTTACTAATTTATTATAAAGGATACGACCCAGGAACAGCAAATGGAAGAGATGCATAGGACACACAGGGACAGATATGGTGGGGAGGAGTCACATGGAGCCTCCACGCCCTCTCAGCACTTCAATGTATTCACCAACCAGGAAGCTCTCTGAACCCTGTAGTTAGGGGTTTCATCATGTAGGCATGATTGACTAAATCATGGGCTGTTGGTGACTGAACTCAACTTCCAGCCCTTCCCTCCTCCCCAGAGGTCACAGGGTGGGGCTGAAAGTCTCCTCATGCCTTGTTCTTTCTGGAGGCCAGCCCCTATCCTGACGCCTTCTAGGAGATCCCAGCTACCAGTCATCAAATTAGCATGCAAAGGACACTCATCATTCCAGAGAATCCAAGGATTTTAGGAGCTGTGTACCAGAAACTAGGGACAAAGACCAAATATACATTTCTCATTATGCCAGCTACATACTATGTGATTCCATTTATTCCACTCTAGAACAGGCAAAACTATAGGGGACAGAAATCAGATCAGCGGCTCCCAGAGGCTGTAGGTAAGGAAAAGGGATTGACTGCAAAGGGGCAAGAGAGAAGTGTTTTGGCTCTTCAAAATGTTCATATTGGGGTGGTAGTTATTTGACTAAATACTCTGTCAAAATTCATCAAACTTTACTCTTATAAAAGGGATTTGTACTATATGTAAAGTACACCTTAATAAACATGACTTCAAATAAAAGCTTTTGCCTTCTGTCACCTTTGGCAAATCCCCTTTCCCTAAAGGATGTGACATATTTATTATGACTGCTGTAAAAGAATGAAATAAAAATTTCCTCAGTGAACAGCTGGTGTGACTTCCACAGAAATGTCCGCTGTCTGTGGTAAGCACCACTAGTAGAATGTGCTTCAGTAGGAGTTTTCAGGTGTCTTTGGTCCGAAGCTCCTCTGTTTATCTGTGATTTCAGACTGGATGAATCTCCTCTTTGGGGTCTCCTTCTGTGCCTTTCTGCTCTGGAGATTCTGCTGCATTGGTAACTTCTTTTGGTTTCCCAGCAACATCTACACCGGTCATCTCCTCCTTACTTTCCTTTTTCTGCTTCTTTTCTGCTTTCTGTTCTTTTGCCAGAAGATGATAATTGACGCCCATGCCAATGAAGAGATAGATGCCCGCAACGATTAGGATTATGCCACACGCCCAGTATGTGTATTTGTAGTCTCCATATATGTCATTGAGACGACCTAAAGAATTAGAAAGTTATATGGGTAAAAGCAAACAAATAGGGGCCAGCCCTGTGGCCAATTGGTTGAGTTCACGTGCTCCACTTCGGCGGCCCCGGGTTTCGCCGGTTCGGATCCTGGGCACGGACATGACACTGCTCATCAGGCCATGCTGAGGCAGCGTCCCACATGCCACAACTGAAAGGACCCACAACTAAAAATACACAACTATGTACCGGGAGGCTTTGGAGAGAAAAAGCAATAAAAATATGCATATATTAAAAGAAAAAAAAAAAGCAAGCAAACAAGTATCTCCTTTCCCAAACAAAGCTGAAGGATCCACTCAGAAAGAAGCTGTCAACCCAATCCTCAAAGAGCCCACAAATGACAAATTAGTCTAAAGAAGAATTGCTAAAAATGGTCTGATTTTTTATTTATGATGTCACAATGATTTTGGATGGCCTTGCATATTCTGTTACTTTTAGCAACTTGAAAATAATTAAATCTTGGCAAATTTGAGTTGGGAAAGAGCTAGAGATCACCCAGAATCAATTCTCAATACACAATGGACAAATTTGTTGCTCCAAGAGGTTTAGGAGTCTTGCCCAAGGCAGCAGAGCTATTCCAGTTTCCCAGACCAAAGCTCTTTCTCTGACATCAGCATTTCCCAAAGAGCATTCATGCGAACACTCCTGCTATGCTAAAAAATTAACTGCCATCAACACGTATCCACCATTCTAAGTGCTTAATTCTCATGACCAGCAGATCAGCATTCTCATTGTATAATTTAAAAACTGAAGTACAGAAACCTTCAGTAACTTATCCAAGATCACGAAGGTAGTAAGTGAAATAGCTTGGCTTTAAATCAGGAAGTCTGACTCCGAAGCCTGCACCTGTAACGCCTGTGCTACAGGATTCCTCCCTAATGTTTCCGATGTCAAATAGATTTAGGAAATGGCATAGCACGTTATTCCCTACTAAAGGCCTTACGAAGTCTGGTAGTAAAGAAACTTATTTAACTTAAAAACCTTTTTTGGCCATGAAATCCTTGTTTTAGTAAAATTTTTTGGCATCTCATCAAATTGGTATCTCAAGGAATAAAAACTCTGTAAAACTCTACATCTATGAAGGGCTTAATATAAGCAATTCAAACATGATTCCATATGGTTTTCTAACTCAGGGCACCAGTCACTCAGCTATATTTATTGAGCCCTACAAACACCATCACTGGCTCTGCTAGGATAAGGGCAAGCAAAGGAGATAACAGCCACAGTTCAGTGGAGAAGAGAAATGTTAATCAAATACTTACACAAACCCTGACAAAGGCTACAAGGAGGGTCTGAAAACAAAACAGGGGGTTGGGAGCAGCAGGGAGGGTCAGGAAGGCTTCTCTTAAAGTGTACACTAAGCTGAGACTTCCAGGAGGACAGCTGTCCAGGAGAAAGGGGGTGGGGAAAGAATCCAGGCAGAGAAGAGCAACTGTAAAGGCAGGTGGTAGGAGGAAGCACAGGGCGTGAGCGGGAAGGAAGAAGGGCCGGGTGTGGGAGCAGAGAGAGCAAAAGGCGAGTGGTGGGAAGTGAGGCAGGAGAGAGGTGGGCCAGGCCACGCGGGGCCCTGGAGACCACATTAGGGAATCTGATCTTCACCTTGAGAACAATGGAACCAACTGGAGAGTTCTAAAAACATTCTAAGAGTTCTGAACTGGAGAGTCCTAGGAGACTGAAGGAGAGCGAGAGTGGGTCTGGGTAAACCAGTCAGAAGGCTACTGTGAGCAGCAGCCCAGGTAGGAGGTAGGAGCTGTTGTGACGGAGAAAACGGGCAGATTAGCAAGAGGTTTAGGAGGTGAAAACTGACAGGAGTGGAATCTCACTGGGAAGAGGGAGGAGACAGGGTGGGGAGTGTGGAAAAGTCGGTGGTGGATCTTCTTTCTGTATCCTTCCTTCCCTTATCATGCACAATCTCAAAAGCACGAGTCATATCCAGAGGAAATCCAAACGATTATCGTAATTTGTATTAATAATAATTTAAAAGAGTAAACAATCTGGTATTCTTAGAGAATAATCCACCAAGTTTTATGGCCACTTACTAGCAGTGTGATCTTGGGCAAGTTATTTCACTTTTAGAAGGCACTACTTCTTCATTTACAAAGCGGGGACACTAACAGTGCTCCCTCAGACTCGGGAGCTATGGCAGGATGCGTAAAACGACTAGGACAGTCCCTGGTACACCTGAGCCCTCACCTGGCAGCTACTGTTAGTATTTTATATATTACTACTGAGATAAATTGCACAATTAAAGGGAAATCACCAACAGCATTTTAAAGGTGGAGTGTATATTATACATTTTTCTACAATGAACATGTTAGTTTTATGATCAGAAAAAATTATTTTTTTTAAGATTGGCACGTGAGCTAACACACCTGTTGCCAATCTTCTTCTATTTTTTTCTTCTTCTTTCCAAAGCCCCCAGTACATAGTTGTAGGTTCTAGTTGTGGGTCCTTCTGGTTGTGCTCTGTGGGACGCTGCCTCAACATGGCCTGATGAGCGCTGCCATGTCTGCAACCAGGATCCGAACCAGCGAAACCCTGGGCTGCCAAAGCAGAGCACCCAAACTTAACCATTTGTCCACAGGGCCGGCCTCAGAAAAAATTATTTTAATAAATACTTAAGTTTTTAACAATTTTTGATTCTCCTTTCAGCTTCATTTTAATTCAATTCCATAAGTATTTGAGCAATTAAGCTGTGCCAAGCATTGTGCCAGCACTAAGGGTACAGAAATGAGAAAGACTTGCTCTCCGCCATCAAGCGGCTCACTGATCTCTGCCTTCTATCACCTTCCCAATCTTCTATGCGTGTTTCATGCTAACAGAACCTCAGAAGTAGGAAGACATACTGTACCTAAAAGTGGTGGCCCCAGCAGGACAGGACAGCATTCCACAATGGTCACCAATCCCACAGCGCTGGAGAACCTCTGAGGTCCAACAAGGTCCATCAGTGTTTCAAACAATACGGAGCTGAGCCACCCAAATGCAAATCCAAGGAATCCCGCATAGACACAGAACCCAATATAGCTGGAGGACAAAGGTGCTAGCAGATGACACACTCCATTTGCAACGATAGAAGCAGCAAAGAAATACTGAACTCGAGGTCTTATCCACTTTGTGTTGGCTACAAGTCCCATAGAAGGTCTGGCTACCATGTCGACAAAAGCCAGAATGGAAAGAAGGAAGGCGGACTTCTCACTAGAGTAATGCTGACTCTTGCCATAATTACTAAGAAAGACTAAAGGTGTAGTCAGCCCAAAAGCCATTACCACATTCCCAGAGAGGTACAGTACAAAGCCTCTGTGTGTGAAGAGGGATAAGTCCAGAAATTTGTTAGCTGTTTGAAAAATTGATTGTTTCTCTTCTTTGGCGTTTCTGCCATTAAATTCTGTATTTGCATCACCTGCCCCTTTTTGTGCATCAGGTTTTCCGGCTTCCTGAAGGGATTCTTTAGACCTCTCTTTCTTTGCATTGGTTGGCTTGGGCCCTATTGGCCGCATCAGGGCTCCAGCCACACAGCAGTTTAGTAGAATCCCCCCAAGAATTAGGAAGCTTCCTCTCCAGCCAAAGATACCAAAGAGAACCTGATTGAGGGGGGCCAGGGTAGAGAGGAGCACAGGGCTGCCTGCCATGGCCAGTCCATTTGCCAAGGGTCGCCTCTTATAGAAATACTTGCCAATCATGGTCAAAGCCGGATTCAAGTTGAAGGCAAGCCCAAGACCTGGGGCGGAGAGGAAAAAATAATCACATACTGTAATAAATGTCTGAAATATATCTGTTATTAATTAACTAGACAAACTGAATGGAAAGAGGTCAAAATCATCATTATGAGACAGGCTATTATAACTAGTAGATCATTAAGTGGACTGTTATCAAATAAATATAGACATAAAGTCTCTTGATGCAACAAATACTAGATTTACAATATAACATTAAAATAATTCTTTTTACCTTAGCAACAAGAAGAATAATAAATGTAGAATCCTTTAATTTCATAATTTTAGCTTTCCTGATGAACATAGAATTGAAAACATAAAGGAGAGAGGATAACTATTATAAATTCAGAAAGCAAGATGGGGGTGGACAGGCAGAGAGAAAGAAAGGGAGAGAGAGGGAGTGGGAGGGAGAGAGAGAAAATATTTTGGGAACAGTATAATACAACCTTGTCAAGACGCGAACACTACCTCAGTAAATCCATTAATTTAATGCAATTTCTATGAAAATGTCAATGTATTTTATTTTTCAAACGAGGTAAAATGACTCTAAAATACACCCAGAGAACAAGTGCACTAGAAATATTTGAAAAGCATAAACAATAGGTGGGACCAACCCTAACAGATATATAAATATATTGTATGGCTACAGTAATTAGAATAGTGTGGCACTTATTAAAAAATAGAAAAACTGATCAATGAAAGTGGGCATAAAGTCCAGAAATAGAACCAAAAGATATATTTAAATTAAGAGAGAAAGATGGATCTTTCAATCAATGGGTCTGGGACAAGTAATTATCCCAATAACCTCCGAAATAGTCTCCCATTCTTGCTCCCCTGCGAGGTGAACCAGATCAGATGCTCCCCTAATTCTCTCTCTCTAATGACTGCCCATCCGTAACTCTGCACTCTGGGTTAGGATGCCCCATGATTTGGTGCTTACCTACCTCTCTGGCCTCATCTCAGTCTATTCTCACATGTGCTAAGCATAACAGTCCTTCTAGATTTTCACAAAGCTGGCTCCTGGTTATCATTCAGATCTCAACTCAAAGTCACCACCACCTCTGAGAGGCCTTTCCTTTAGGGACCATTCAATCCTTCTCTATCAAAACACTCTGTTTTAAGTCTTTGCAAAGGACTTATGACTACCTCATATTTTTCTTGTTTATTCATTTATTTATTGGTCTATTTATTGTCTGCTTCCTTCCACTAAAGAGCAGGATTCTTGCCTATCATGTTGACTCTAGCCCTGCAGAGCTCGGAACAGTGCCTGGCATGTAGTAGGGACTCAATAAACATTAGTGGAACAAATTAATAAATGAAATAATGAACAGACTCAATAACCATATAGAAACAAAGTTCTATTCCTTCCTTATGTTATTCATTTTATATGATACTCATTGAATATTCATGTTATTCAAATATTCTAGATGGAATAAAATATTTAAATGTTTAAAATTTTAATTAATATAGTGAGAGTATAGATCTAAGAAGAAAATACCCATTACTGGCATTATCTCAGATCCTGCAGGTAGGACTATAAATTATTATAAACTTTCTAACAGAGTATTTGGCCAATCGTATCAAAAACATTTTCCACCAGTAATTCTACTTCTATACATTTATCCTAAGGAAATTATCATTTTCACAAAGATGTATAGAGAAGTACTATCATACAAATACTGTTTATTAATAGTGAAAAATACAAACCTAAATGTCCTTCAATTAGAGAATGGTGAACTAAACTATGGCATATCCATTCTCAATGGAAAAATAATAGCTGCTGAAGTATGTTTACTGACATGGGGAACTATGTACATGACATACTCTTAAGCGAAAAAAACTGGTTACAAACATTATACACAATCTCATCCCTTTTTCTAAAAAATTATATGTATGTGCATAGAAAAATATATGAGTGGATACAGCATCAAAATATTAAAATGGTGGTTTTCTCTGAATTATAGAGCAATGGGTGATCTTTATTCTTGAATTCAGCAGTTTCATTTTCTTTTTTTTTTAAAGATTTTATTTTTCCTTTTTCTCCCCAAAGCCCCACAGTACATAGTTGTGTAGTTTTAGTTGTGGGTCCTTCTAGTTGTGGCATGTGGGAAGCTGCCTCAGCATGGCTTGACGAGCAGTGCCATGTCCGTGTCCAGGATTCAAACCAGTGAAACCCTAGGCTGTCGAAGCAGAGCGCAGGAACCCAACCACTCAGCCATGGAGCTGGCCCCCAGTTTCGTTTTCTTAATTTAGCTGTTAGAAAGGGGAGGTTCTCATGTGTGCCTTTTATCCCTCAAAAAAGCATCTGGCTTCTCCACCAGAAAATTCCTGCTTTGTATTTGACATTCTCTCTTACTCCAATTGGAGCCAATTTCTTCTTGGGTGGAAGGGCTAGTGGGTGGGCATAGCTGATGACTACCCTTTCAACAACTTGCCACACACCCTTTAACTATCACCACTATCTTTCTTAAGAGAAAAAAAAAGAAAAGAAACTCTCAATGCATTCACTCAATAAAAAAATAATCACCCATTAAGTGCCACAACTTTCTTTAAAGACTTGCTTTTCTGGTACTTATTAACATATCTACAGCTCTTAAAAATCACAACCCAGTAATTTTTCTAACAAAGAACTTTCATTTCTCAAAAGAATTGGCAGATGAATTCTACAAATAGTCCCCCGAAAAATTAGTACTCAAAAATACATCAGTAACAACTCACCTCCAACAAGTCCAATACACAAGTAAAGTTCCTGCACAGTGTTACAGAAAGAAGCTGCAATCAAGCCACAGCCTGACAAGCAGCCGCCAACAATCATGACTGGACGACTGCCATATTTATTCACCAGGATACTGCTGATAGGACCTAGGAGGGAGCAAACAACTTAGTAACAGAGAGAAGCCCATCCCTCATATCCACACGGGCACAAGACGTTACTGACATGAAAGGATGACGAGACATAAATACCTCACCCCACAAAATAAACAGATATAACAGAAGACAGTGATAAGGAAGATTGCTTCCTATCTTTATTTCACAGTCACAGGTTTGTGTAATGGAAAAAATATAGCACTGATTGCACATCTTCTATATACGTAGAACATATTGCATTAATTTTAACTAAAATATGAAATACCTTAATCTATCTCTTTTAAGGCAGAATAGGCTGCAAATACCCTGATTATAAGTGTTGACAGGATTCTTCATGTATCTAGGATATTATCAACGTATATAGCAAGTTTGCTCTGGTTTTAATCTTTTAGCTGGTCATCTGGAGCAAAAACACATGAATATGATGAGATGTATGAGCACATCTGAACAAACTTCTGACTTTAGAGCATATTTACAAACTAACTAAAATGTATTTTGTTTCTCACGGAAAACAACAAAACCGAAACAGAACTACAAAACAAGAATGCCTACCATCACCACTTTTCTTCAACATTATACTGGAGATCCAAGCCAGCGCAGTAAGACGGGGAAAAAAAAGTATAAGGAAAGGAAGAAACCAAACTATCAGTATTTGCAGAAGATATGTTTATCTATCTAAAAATTTTGAAAAAAATCTACCAATAAATGATTGGAAATAACAAGGGTTTAGCAAGGTTACAGGATATATGATTAAAACACAAACATCAATTGTCTCTCTATACACCAGCAACTAACACAAAATCATTTTAAAAGAAATCTATTCTTTATAACAACACCTGTCTTATAATATTATAACTCACCTAACAGAGCATACAGTTGCCATGTAGCTTTTATTATTAAAGGGAATGAAAAATATGACTAATCACATAAGCTTCAAGAACCAACATTTCAAATATCTCACTGATAACGGCATCAAGAACAAAAAGTACTTGATACAGAGCTTTTGTCTGCCTATTCGAAGTTAAAAAGAGTAGGCCTCCATGGGTACTTACCTCCACCACACATGACAGCAAACATGATGGAAGATATCCATGACACTTCGCTGGTGCTGGCATTAAATATTCCTTCAATTTCTTTGTAAAATACAGAAATAGATTTGCCAAACGCACAAGAGAAGCCAATGGAAAAAAAAGCTCCAACAACCACTGCCCATCCCCAGCCTCCATCTGGGGGAGTGCATCCAACTGGATTTCCATCTGATGGTGACATTGTAAGTAATGATGAATTCAAAAATGCAGTTCAGATCCAAATATCTAAAGGATATGAAATTAAAATAGTACATAACAAGTAGGTCAAAACAAAGCACTTCCATAAAATCCCTTACACTTAGGTTACAAATAGCTGAAATGCTTTTCAATGTTACTTGTTCTCCATGAACACACTGGAAAAACTCTAAGAGTCATAGTATTGCCCAAAATTTTTATAGGCTTAAAGTTAAAAACTCACCACTACTTGAACCGTACACCAAAATCCTTTTCAATAAATGTAGTTTCTTCAAATTTATAAGCATACCTATTTTAATATCAGTAATTTTCCACGTTACCAAAGATAACCAAATAACTCCTGACTTACCTGCATGCAAAACTCCCAAATACACACATATATAAAAGGTTCATAATTTAATATTTCCTTTATAATTTCCCTCCTTTCCCAAAATGTATTCTCCAATACTTACCTAGTTTTTACATTCTCTAGAATTTATAGGCTGACTTAAAAGTGTCAGGAAGGATACATTAATATCCATTACTCACTAGACATATGGCAATTTTCAAAAGAAAAGATCATCTCAAACATAAGATTCTCATTTAATGGTCTAGAAAATCATCAAAGTTTGCCTTTCATCCAGCTGCTTAGATTTAAGGCATTTTTTTCTATTATCTGACTAGAAAGATTCCTAAATGATGACGATCAATACAGTTAAAATCTGCAAAATGAAGCCTAATATCAGAAGCTGGTAGTTTTTGGGGGGTTTTTTTGCTGAGGAAGATTAGCCCTGAGCTAACATCTGTGCCAATCTTCCTCTATTTTATATGTGGGTTGTGGGTGACAGCATGGATGATGAGTACTGTAGGTCCACACCTGTGATCTGATCCCACGAACCCAGGCCGCTGAAGCAGAGCACGTCGAACTTAACCACCAGGACACAGGGCTGGCCCCGGAAGCTGGTGGTTTTAACTCAAAGATTCTCCCTTCTCTTCTTCTTCTTTTTTTCATTTTTTGACAATCTTCCTCTCTCTCTCTCTTTTTTTTTCCCTTCCCAAAGCCCCAGTACATAGCTGTATATTCTAGTTGTAAGTCATTCTAGTTCTTCTACGGGAGCCACTGCCACAGCATGGCTACTGACAGACAAGTGGTGTGGTTCCATGCCTGGGAATTGAATCCCGGGTCACCAAGCACAGCATGCCAAACTTTAACCACTAGGCCATCAGGGCTGGCCCTCCCCTTTTCTTCTTACATCACCCAGCACTAGTGAAGAGCATAGTTAGAAAAGTAAATGTAACTGTGATTATGAATTACTAGCAGATGGGAGAGGTTGAAGGCAGGTTAACAGTCTAGAGAAATTAGGCTCTCCTTTGATTTACTTAAACCAACTTCTATTTTATGTCCAAATTAATCCTGCAATATGTTACTCTGCCCATTCCTGGCTACCCTAACACCACCTAGAATGGTATAGTACAGTATTAATATTGCACAGGTCAAGGATGACAATCTCATTTTTGACTATTATATTTCTGAGTCTTTAATACAAATCCTAGCTTCCTATCCATAGGAGTCAACTTTTAAATAGCTCACCTTCTAACCAACCTAAACACTTCAAATATAACTTAGAAAGTGATGTAGTGATTTTTTTTTTTTTTTTTTTAAAACACTCTTAAGAAGAGGTCTGCTTAAGCACCTAAAAGACTATGTTTTTTAAATAAAATTTATACAGAAGTAAAGTTTCTAAAAGCTTTATAAAGTTATAAAATTCCCAGGGTTTGAACAACTTTTGTTAGATTTATTCTAAGGTAGTTTTTGTTATTATTATAGACGGTAATTTTAAAAAGTCATTTTTTGTTAGCTGCTGGTGTATAGAGACACAATTGATTTGTTTAAATAACAGCTTTATTGAGACATAATTCACATATACAATTCATCCTTTTAAAGTGCACAACTCAGTGTTTTTTAGTACATTCACAGAATTGTACAATATCACCACTAATTTCAGAGCATCACCCCAAAAGTAAACTCTGTACCCATTAGCAGTTACTCCATTTCCCCCTCATCCCAGACCCTGGCAACCACCTATTTACTTCCTATTTCTCTGGATTTGCCTATACTGGACATTTCTTATAAGTGGAATCATACAACATGTGGCCTTTTAGTCTGACTTCTTTCGCTTATGTTTTCAGGGTTCATCCATGTTGTAGCATACATCAGCACTTCATTCCTCTTTATTGCTGAATAATATTCATTTTATAGAGATACCATATTTTGTTTATCCATTTATCAATTGGTGGACATCTGGGTTCTTTCCACTTTAGGGCTATTGTGAATAAAGCCACTATTGAAATTTGTGTACAGGTTCTTGCGTGGATGTAAGTTTTCAGTTCTTTTGGGAATATACTTGGGAGTAGAAACGCTAGGTCATATGGTAATTTTGCGTAAATTCTGAGAAACTGCCAAACTGTTTTCCACAGTGGCTCCATCATTTTTAGTCCCACTAGCAATGTATGAGAGTTCCAATTTTTCTACATCCTTGCCAACATTTGTTATGTCTCTTTTTGATTTTTAACTATCCTAATGGGGAGTTTGTAGAACTTCTTAGATGTATAGATTAATGTTTTTCATCAACTTTGCAGAGTTGTCAGCCATTATTTTTTCAAATATTCTTTCTGCTCCTTTCTCTCCCATTCTTCTGGAGCTCCCATTATGCATATATTGCTACACTGGATGGTGTTCCACAGGTCCCTGAGACTCTATTCATTTTTCTTCATTCTTTTTTCTTTCTTTTCCTTCACTTGATAACCTCAATTGACCAATATTCAGGTTCACTAAATCTTTCTTCTGCCAGCTCAAGTCTTCTTTTGAGCCCCTCTCATAAATTTTTTAGTTATTGTACTTTTCAGCTCCAGAATTTCTATTTGGCTCTTTTTCATAATTACTCTTTATTGATATTCTCTATTTGGTGAGACATTGTTCCCATACTTTCTTTTTGTTCATTAGACATGTTTTTCTTTGATTCTTTGAACACATCTATAATATCTAATTTTATTTATTTATTTTTTTTGAGGAAGATCGGCCCTGAGCTAACATCTGCTGCCAATCCCCCTCCTTTTTTTTTCACAGAGGGAGACTGGCCCTGAGCTAAAATCCATGCCCATCTTCCTCTACTTTATATGTGGGATGCCTGCCACAGCATGGCTTGATGAGTGGTGCCACACCCACACCCGGGATCCAGATTGGCGGACCCCAGGCCACTGAAGCAGAATGTGAGAACTTAACCTCTGTGCCACCAGGCCAGCCCCTATACTAGCTAATTTTAAAACTTTGTCTAGTAAGTCCGGCGTCTGGGGTTCCTTAAGGACAGTTTCAGTTGAATGACTTTTCTCCCTGTGTATAGACCATACTCCCTGTTTCTTTGTGTGCTTCATATATTTTTGTTTTTGTTAAAAACTGGATATTCTAAATAATGTGGCAACAGTGGAAATCAGATTCCCTCTTTGCCCAGAGTCAGTTGTTATTGCTGTTTGTGGTCTGTGTTGATGCTGTTATTTGTTTAATAACTTTCCTGAACAAATTCAGTGCAGTTTGTAATTTTTTGTTGTATATAGCCACTGAAATCTCTGCTCGATTAGCTTAGTGGTCAGCCAATGATTTGATGAAGACTTCTTTAAATGCCTTGAATCAGTATATCTCCCAGGCATTGCTAAAGGGCATTATGTGTGTACTGGGGCATGGTTTCAACTCTCCAGCAGGCAGCTTACACCTCTGCCTTAGCCTTCAGTTCCTACTTGTATAGGGCTTTAAGGTCAGCCAGAGGTATGAAATTCAGACCTTCTCAGGTCTTTCCTGAGCATGGGCACAGTCCTGAACGTATGCATGACCTTCTAGAGTCCCAGGAATATGTCAGAGCTTTTCAAAGCCCTGTATGCACATCCCATTCCTCAGCTTTTCAACTGTTTGATCAGCTTTTTGTTTACCCAAGTTGTTTGTCCAACTCAGGCAGCTGAGATGTTAAATAATTGCCTCCAATGTTTTCAACAAACGTCCTGGGGAAAAAGGCTGTTCACACTAGCAAGCTTTGAATCAGATCAAATAAAGATAAGCCCTGTGAGTGGGGCTTTCCAAGGAACTGCCAGACAAGTTAAATAATGACAGTTCTCTAAGAATGGGGCTTTTCAAAGGGTTCCAAATCCATTCTGCCCCCACCAGTGGCTACTAGGCTGCTGGTTTTCATGGCTACTGTGATTGTGAAGTTATTTGTTTTTAATCCTACTACAGAGTTGGGGAGAGAAGAATGGGAAGAGGTCACAATAAAATCACAAATCTTGCTGTTCTTACTTATATTCAGCTGTTTTCTTGAATATATTCTCTTTGAGTTATTGCAAGCCTTTGGTTAGTTTTAAGTTCTGAAAAGGTGATTTTAACAATTTTTGCCAATGTTCTTGTTGCTTTTATGAAGGAGGAGATTCTCTGAGGGCCTTACCACACTGCTCCAGAAGTACCACCACAATTGATTTTTGTACATTGATCTTTAATTTGGCAAATTTGCAAACATCTCATTGTTTTTAATAGTTAATTAGTATATTCTTTCAGGTCTTCTGCATAGACAATTACATTACCTAGGAATTATTATAGTTTGGTTTCCTCCTTTCCAATTCTTATACCTTTTTTTCCTGTCTTATTCTGCTGGGCTCAACCTCTGGTACAATGTTAGATGGAAGTGGTGATGGTAGGTATATTAGTTTGCTAGGGCTGCCATAACAAAATACCATAGTCTGAGTGCCTTAAACAACAGAAATTTATTTTCTCACAGTTCTGGAGGCTAAAGGTCCAAGATCAAGATGTCAGCAGGTTTTCTTTCTTCTGAGGCCTCTCTCCTTGGCTTGTGGATGGCTGTCTTCTCACTATGTGTTCACATGGTCATCTTTCTGTGTGTGCAAGTGTCTGGTATCTCTCCTCTTCTTATAAGGACACTAGTCATATTGGATTAGGGCCCACCCATATAACCTCTTTAACTTAAATAACTCTTTAAAGGCTCTA